TATAAAGATTCCGTGATTATCCAGAGTGTCACTGAGACTTCACCTAACTGGAACAAAGTGCCTGTCATTTTTAAAGGACAATATCAAATTGCTGTCATTTTTAATTGTTACAGACAAAACAAGATAGCTGTTTCCTGGTTAGAATTCGGGTTTAGGAAAAGGTATTTCATTTAATTCAGAAGTACAGTGAAGTACGTTCTCCCAAACTTTATTCATTTTTCCTCCAGAAAATAAGGAATGTTTCAAGAGAATATGCTGTACCAATCTTGCAGCAGCCAAGAGTGAACACTCTTTGAGGGAGATGGCTCCCTTTGTGACAGTGTTTGTCATTCCCAGGTATGTGACCAGGGAGGATGTGGCAGCAGCCTCGCTCTCCAAAGCCGCCAGCACCGGGGGCAGCGTCCGCCTCATCTCCAGGGAAAGTGGGGTTTGTCCCAAGAAAGAAAATGCTCCTCTTGAACAATCCACAAAGTAAGTTTATTAATGCAATAAGGTGATTAAGCTCTTTTTCCACAGTAAAATTATTTGCTGAGTGTCTGCCTTGCTGAAGTGCAGTAGTTACATGAGAAACTTGCTGTAGTGCTAATAAGCTGTGCTTTGTTTTTATAACTATTTAGATAATATCTGATGTCTGCAGACATAGCTGCTAATTAACTGAGGCTGATTAAAACAGAACAATGATTCAGCTAAAGAAAAAAAAAAGTTAGCTCAGCCTCCTTGTGAGGTCAACAGCAAATTGGGCACACCAAATTTTCTTCTATTTGGCCTCAAAATTTAGAAAAAGAGAAAAGAATATAAAAATTCTAGACAGAAATTACCCTTTTAAAAAATTTTATTTAACAAGCAGTGTATATCCTGCCTTGTTTGGAGCAGGAAATCAATAGGCAGCCATGGAGATTGAAAAGAGAAACCAGGATGTTTCCTTTGACTTTTTTTACTTCTATTAAAGATGGGGCTGAAACATTTTACCTTTATATGTGTATGTGCCTGGTAAAACCCACCCTTTCTTTATGAATACAGCATAATATCAGCTAATAATTCAGTGTACATGTGTAAATGTAGTGAGATATGCAGAAGAAAAATCTGCCTTGTCATATTGTCAAATTTTGTCTAAGTGGAGATGTAAACCAAGTGGAGGGTTTGCGGTGTGCAGGTGTCAGTCTGAGTAAGGTATTATTTCAGCTGAAATTGCTATTTCAGAGCACAGAAGATATGTGATGGAGAGTCACAGTGCATAAAACCCCACTGAACCGTGGGGCTGAATCCCTCCTTTATCAACAGCTGGGCTTTGTTCTCTGCCAACAGGTTGCTTTCAGACACCGGAGGAGGTCCCTCAGCCCTTCATGCCGAGCAGGGTGAAGGCTCCCCCCTGCCCAAAGGGTATTTGCAGGCCCTGGACAGCCAGGGGACCCCGCTGTGCCTGAGCTGTCAGCAGCCCACGGCACAGCTCCCGCCCGGCAGCCACGCCTGGGACACGCGGTTCTGCTCCCACGCCTGCCAGGAGGATTTCTCCATCCGCTCCAGCCAGAGCTACCTCAGGACCAAAGTGTTTGAAGTAGAACACGGGGTTTGCCAGTTCTGTCACCAAAACGCGCAGGAGCTTTATCTCAGCGTCAGAGACGCCCCCAGGAGTCGGCGCAAGGAACTGCTGGAGAGCTCCTGGATGTCCCACCTCCCACTGGGGCAGGTAATTGGGTGCAGTTACAGCTGATCTGGCTACAGACAGTTCAGAGAAACCCAAAGATGTTCTTACAGATTTAAGATAGAAAGTTAACCCAGCATCAACAACAGAACAAGAAAAAACAAGTCCTTAAAAACAATCAAACTAAATGCCTTTGACTTCTTGATTTTTCTATCCCACTGTCTTTTAACAGATTTTTCATCTCTAAAAGGCACAGGCATCAAAGCTCTGACTCTGTAGGGGTGAATGTAAATACCAGGGCTGGTTGTACAGTTCAGGCTGGGTGAAAACATGCCAACTGCTTACACTTCTTTGCTTGTCCGGTGGGAGTAGCTAAAAATTGCTAAGGCTGGCTTTGTTTATCCTGATGAGAACTATAAATAGCTACTCCCCTGAATGTCCTTGTTCTGATGGTAGTGTGCACATGTAGCTCAGGAGGAGTGTCTCACACATCCCGTGCCCTGTCCTGTGTTTGCTGCAGCTGAACGAGATGATCCGGAGCCCCACGGAGGGGCAGTTCTGGCAGGTGGATCACATCCAGCCCGTGTACAGCGGAGGAGGACAGTGCTCCCTGGACAACCTGCAGACTCTGTGCACAGCCTGCCACAGGGAGGTCAGTGTGCTGGGACCAGGAATCCTGGCCCTCGCCCCTGGAACAGCAGCAGGAGCCTGAAGTTAGGCTCCTCCTCAGCCCTGCAGAACCCCTGTGCCCTCAGCCTCCCTCTCCCACACGGCACAGGTGGAAATGCAGCATTAAACTATTATGGCAGTTTTCTCAGGATTTGGGAAAATGCCACCTTAATAAACATCTGCATTTTATTATGCTGTGTACTGCAAAATCAGACTGGAGTTCAACTGTGGGCTAATGCTGTCCCTGGGCAGAGTTGCCAAGTCTCAACACTCACTGAACAGACCCGTGTCTCTCTTTCGCAGAGAACTGCCAAGCAGGCCAAGGAGAGAAGCCAACTGAAGAGAAGGTCTTTGGCTACAAAGTACGGCTGTGACATCACCAAATTTTTTGTGAAAATGTAAAATGCAAAATCCCTTCAGGTATAATGTAACACTAAATCCAATACAGTTATATAGTTTTCCTCATGCGCTGATTTAACAGGAATCTCTGTCGCCCATCAATGCTGCTGGTAGAGAGGAGAAAATACGGAATTAAAACCAAGGAATCGTTTGTAACACTGATGGTCAGAGGGCATCCAAGGTACTTGATTATGGTCATGTTTTTATGACCCTGTGGTTTAAAGCTAAATTTCTGCATGTAACCTTACTGCACTGAGCCTGACTTACAGGACTCTGGCATTTAGAACTGATGGCAGTTGAATTCTGTTTTTACTTAAACCAGCTTGTATTAAAATTTTATTTATGATAAGGAACACTAGATATTACCAATTATGTCATCAAAGGTAGTTTCTGGGAAATGCTACAGTCACATTTTCCTTAACAAGATTGCTGGTTCTTTTGGACTGCTTACCTGGCTTTCTTTACAGTTACTTTAAATAAATACAGTTCTTTTTCGTGGTGATTTTTTTCTCTGTCTCTCCTCATCCCTTGAATGCTGGAAGGCAGTTGTAAGCTCATAAAGCACATCTCCAGGAAGGACGTGGCTGAAATTTCAACTACATCTAGTTAAAATAAGCTGTAAAGTTATCCTGCTCAGAAAAATTCTTAGAAGTTATAAATCTTTTACTGAGAAAAAGAATGTTTAAGACAAGGTAGTTGCATAACTGCACCATTTTCTGTAGAGCCAAACTCACTGGACATTTCCAGCAAAGATGCTTTCAGGTAATAAAGATACCTTTAGGTAACACCTGAAAAAAATGTTGGATGATGTTTGTGGTGCCTGAGTATAATAAAGGAATCATCTCTCCAGCAGTTTAAAGGACCAAGTAAGAATAGCCTGGGAACTAAGTGTGAGGGATTTTTAAGTTTATACAGCCTTTACAAGAGCCCACACTGCAGTGTAAAATTTCATTAGAGAGGAGGAGACCAAGAGTATCAGGGAAGACACTTAAGTTAAAATTTACTTAATCAGTAATTAGCCCAGTGCACTTTCTTTTAAAGAAGCTACCCATTTAAACAGCAGCTACATTGGTCTTTATCTTACCCCTTGGCCAGAGGAATTTCTCTCACACAAACAATGTAGAGAACAAATTCCGTGACAATACTTTCCTTGAAGAAAATTAACTCTTCTTCATCCTGAAAAATGCATTTCTACTTGCTAGAGCTTTATCTGAAGAAAACACTCTGACCCCTGTCCCCTCCAAGGAGCTTTAGGGCAACACCTGGGACCCTACTGTCAGCAGAACTCAACTCTCTACACATCATGTAGTTACAGCCATAAACAATGTCCTTCCTGGGTCAGATCATGCAAGGAGGGAATGGAAAAGCACGGGAATACTGAGAGCCAATAATAAATTCGTATTTATTGAGTAATGTCCACAATACTGTAGCTGTTTGTACATTTCATTGTGTAAAGTGGTGCTGATTTTTTGCTGATTCTCATTAAACACATGAAGGTCACTGTGAAGCAACATTGGCACGAACACGTCGGTGTCTGATGGTACCAGTGGGGTGAGGGGCCAGCAGGTGACAGAATGTTCCATCCTCACAGCAAAGACACGGGGCAGGCAAACAGCCTCTGGAAATACCAGCAAGTTGCTCACAGTGAAACACTTCTGCAGCTGTCATTTCACACAGCTTTGGCCCTTGCACCAGGGAAGGGGATAAAGTACCCCAAACCATCAGTGCCAGCTCTCAGGCTCACTGTCCAGTTCTAGCCCCAAATGTCATTTTTTCTATTTGGGAGAAGGGACAAGATCTTTTTGGACAATAACTGCAATGCCAGGAGGGCTTGGCATGAACTAGAGTGTACTGTATACTTTAAATAAAAATAAGAATATTTTAGAAGTACTTGAAATTTAGTGATTAACCAAAACATAGTGGGCTCTGTAATTATGATTAGCAATAAATATAAATTACTTATGTTTATAAGTCAATTTAGTTAGACTAATATCACTTGATAAAGTTTGATCCAGAAGTGTAGAGCAGCACATTCTGTAGGAATTTCAACATGAATATTTGCACACAGCCCATTCACGTCCATAATTAACCAAGCTAATGCAAAGAAAAGAAAAGATGCTCCCTTTGGGCAGAAAGGAGGTTGCTACATTTTCTTTCCCGAAGATCTGACTGAAACTACTCGTGAAGCCGTTCCAAACCTCCAAGGTGAGTTGCTGCAGACATCCCTCAAGGCTGCCAACGCCAGTCCTCGGGAATGGTGTACGCAGTGTCTCCTCAGCACAGTCAGTCCATCCATTCCCTTCCCGCGGGACGTGAGCCCCGCGCTGCTGTGAGGACACGGAAGATGGTGGGGGCCGGTGGCTCAGAAGAAGGTGGTGTCGGCGGAGAAGGCCCCCGCCAGGCGGAAATCCTCCCTGGTGAGGACGCTGTACATGCGCTGCGGCAGCGCCTTGGAGTAGGGCGCGGGCCGGGGCACGGCCGAGCGCAGGATCACCTCCCGGCCCGTGGGCGGAGGGAACTCCGACTGCACCCCCTGCCTGCGCTCCTCCGCACAGCCCGAGCGCCGCAGCTCCTCCTCCAGCGGCGGCACCGCCGAAACCTTGGGAGAGAGCACAGGCACAGTGACAGGCACGGCTGCTGCCTAACGTGGGACTCACGAAATATTTCTGAAGAGAGGCAGAGAAAGATCAGAAATGGCAACACGTCAGGAGGCTTTACGTGCACGCAGAGCGGGGCGCTAATGGGATGCCGAGAAACAAAGTGCACGTAACCAGATGGAAGAACCTGCACGTGTGGGTGGTGAAGCTCAGCCCGGATTAAGCTCCTGATGTTCCGGCGGTGTGAGTGAGGGTTGTGAGCAGTGGAAACGGCCCCTCCTCAGCTCCCTGTGGAGGGCAGGCCAGCCTCCTCTCCAAAATCATCCATGCCACTACTGCAGTCCTGACAGTCACCTGCCTCTTCAGACACACAGGGCTGTGGTGGGCGCTGTTCATGCTGGGAGTGCAGTGCAGAGCAAGGGAGGATCTACACCACCTCTGCCGGTGCTCATTGCCTCGGGCAGTGAACAGCAACACTGACCCTGGACACTGGAACAAGGGCTGGCCTGCCCAGTAAACATTCCCTAATCACATATACCTCCGGATACACACATCCCCACCAGTACCCCAACAGGGTCCTGCCCAATTTCAGCAGGCACAGCTCCAGCTTGGCACTGTCACTGAGGTGTGGCAGAACCCTCTGGATGACCCTCACGGTCCCTCTGATCCGCCACTCTGCTCCCCACACTCACTCCCAGGAGCTGGGGGAGCCTGGCACCACTTGCCTCTGCAGTTTGTGCCACAGAATTCACCATGGACAAGCACCACTTGTTCCCACAAAAACAGCTCTAGCAAACCAGAGGATGCTCCCTGTGCTACACTTTATGGAATTACCTCAGTTCTTCCCCAGATATCACTGTCCAAAATATTCCATAGTTACAGTAAATCCTGGTATCAAGAATGCAAAATCCAGGGACTGTCAATCCCCCCAAAACATCTGTCTGCTCAACAAACAAATAGTGATGGCATCAGAGAATATAAAGAATGGCCACATATTTCAGCATCAGAAAACATCAGTATTCACTTGAATAAACACTTTTTTTGTTTGGGTTTTTTGTTTGTTTGTTTTGGGAGGGGTTTTGGTTGTTTTGCGGTTTTTTGGGAGGGGGGGTTCGGGGTTTTTTGTTGTTGTTTTTGGGGGGGTGTTTTGGTTTGGGTTGGGTTTTTATTATTGAAGATTTCACTCTCTTTTCACTACCTGTTATGATGCTCTAGAAATAAAGTCTGTGAATGCAGAAAAACCATTCTGGAAACACAAAGTTATTTTTGTGCTTAATATGTGAACAACAGTACAAACTAAATCTAGCTGCTGTACTATCTCTACCAGAAGGTTCAACTCTATGCAGCTTGGGAAGATGAGTGGGAAAGGAGGGACAAAGTTGGTTACCTCATCAGAAGATTCAGTCAGCTTGGAAAGGGATGAGAAAAGAACCAGTGATGAAAGACAGAAACAAAGGCAAGTCAGAGATGACTTACAAGAGGTTAGGAGACTGTAGGTTTAAGAGACATCATGCATTCTACTTCCAAGAGCATGCACTGGCTATCAGAATTTTCCTGAGAAAATTTGAGAACATACACATTAAACAAAACTCAGAGAGGAATCCAGGATCAAAAGGTAATGAACAAGGAATTCATTCAACTTCTATTTACCAAACAGCTCTCTACCCAAATAACTCATGGGAGATCAAACACAAAGGGGGCTCCTGTTGCCCTAAGACATCCTAATTAACAGTGACCAGCTACTGGGGGAAGTATCTGTAACCCTACTTTAGTTACTGGTGTTTCAAAAGAAACAAAGCCCTAGAAATGTGCACCTATCTTTATCAAACACTAACCTCGAAACCTACTCAGCTTTGAAAACCCTGCCTCGGTGTTAGAGGCAAGTGCACATGTGTGCAGGCACTGACAGGGCACAGCCTTGGGCTTTACAGGAGGGGTTGTAAGTCAGGCTGGTTGGCACGTTGAGATTTCAAACTAGATCTTCCCTAGAGACTGGAAGGATAAAATAAATGCTCTGATTTTCATCCCTCACACTAACCACAGTCTGTTTTCAGAATGGTCCTTTTTATGCTGTGTTGCAAAATACAGTTTATTACAAAATCATCCATACCTTAGAAGTGTTTAACACCCAATCACAATGTTTTCCCAGCAATTATTCCCAAATGGAATTTCAGGCTCTAAGATGTCTGCAATACTGTGCTACCCTGCTATTACCACTGTAGTTAAATTTTAGTTAGAAAACTTGATGCTATGAGCAGGTGTAATTCTGACAGAAACTGAAGGGTGACTGCAGTCCATGAGGTTTGGAAATCAATACTTTAAGGCTTATTATTACAAACACTGCTTCAGATAAAAAGGCAATATTTGCATCAATATCAGCAAGAGAAGGGGTTCCAGAAAACAGATGCAACACTGGCAATAAGTAACTAAATGTAGAGTCCTACTGAAAAAGAGCTGACACTTCCTCAGCATGCCACTTTCCACAGAAGAAGTCTTGAGTATTCCAAGTATATCCCAAGTATCCCCATTCTAAAAAGTTACTCCTTCTAAAATATTTAATATTTTGACCTGTTTCTCTACATTCCTATGTGAAACAATCAACACTTGATTGTTCTTGCTGAGACAGAAATCTGTGCCATAACAGCATTACTGGTTACCATTTGAAGTACATCAGCCATTAATGACACCTCTGTCTACCCAGCTGGCTTCAACTGTTTAACATCCCAGATCACTGACTCTTCCTTTGTCTTGCAAGGTTCTGTTATTGCCAAAATCATGTTGAACATCACAAAAAACACCTCAAGCATATTTATGACAACACATGCACGTATGCAGACAAAATACACTGGCATCATATGATAAGTCATTGCTTCGTTCTGCTTAAATCACAAGTGTCTGCAAAGCAACCCAGAGCTCCCTCTTACCCTCTGAGCATTCACAAACAGCTTGTGAATGATGCTGCCAGCAGGTCCTCTTCCTGCACCCACAACTGACACCTCTGGCTGCTCCAGGAGACAGTTTACAAATCTGGTGGAACAAATCATTGCAAAGGAAAAGGGAATGTTTAATCCGTGGCTGTATCCGGTTTGCTAATCCAAACCCCAGAGCTGTTTCCTGGCAGGAGGCCTCCACTGAGCATCATTTGCACAGGGTGAGATCTGGCAGCTACTCTCAGTTCTCCATTCTGAAAGTCTGAGGAAAAAATCTCCTCTCAGTTATCTAAGAATGGAACTCAGGCTCCTGATGCAGAGGTGTTAATTCAACACAAAAAGCCTTCATGGTGTTGGCCACACACCATGGGATGGATATTTTTGAGCACAAAGATAATGCTTTGGTCACACATCACACCCCTGAACCCCCAACGCATCCTACAAAAACATCATCTCTTCCTCCCAGCACAGCAGCAACAAGCTAATGTGGATTTTTTCAACATGACTTATTAGTCATCTTGAATGCTAAGTAAATAATCTGCCAGCAGGCAGTGATGCTAGGAAACTGCCTTGTCACTTCCTATTCACAGCTCCTCAGTGACTGGTTTCACATCAGTAAGGAGACAAGAACAAGAAAATATAACTTTGGAGGGGAGTATTTCATTCCATAATATTTACAGAAAATACTAAATTTCTAGTCCTACTTTTACCTCTGTTGTGACAGAATTCATCAAATACACCTTTTACATACACAAAAAGTAGATGAAATCCCCAGTACTATCAAGATAGAACCAAACTCCAGTAAAATAACCTGTATCACATGTTTTCAAAGAGCTGCTCATTCAGAGGAGCATTTAGGGTATCTACACAACATCCACAGTCTCAGGACAGGGACACCTAAATATGATTCCTTAGTATTTCTGTATCCATCTGTCCTAAATTTTGAAAGTACAAAAAAAGGGCATCAGAGGAAAAACAGAAGAACATCATCAGTCACCTTTGTAGATCTTCTTTCTCCTCCTCATTTTCACACTTCTCTACACCAAATTTTGCTTTCAGAGACCTTGCCCTGGCAATGATCGCTTCCACACTCATAATCTGAGCGATGATCTCCTGCAAGAGTTGGATAAAAGTGCCAATTAAAAACATGGGGTTTCAGCACTCCCATGAACAGTGCAAAAGTCTATCAGGTTTTCAGCCCCAGCCAGTACAAAAGCCTTACTTCCAACTTCTTGTCCTCTGGATTGGGGAACCGTAGTACTTTGCTGGAATGAGATATTATCTGCTTGATTATCTTCTTGACTGAAGAGATATCTTCTAGTGCTTCTGTTAGAAGGAAAGAACCAAAATTGTAATTATTGCATCACTGCTCACCCCAAAATATCTTAATTTATTAAACATTATTTACCTTCATCCTTTACCTTGAGTACAGCTGCATGGATGATGCAAGGCAGGAGGTGCCTTGCAAGGTCAGCTGGTTTCTGAACTGCAAGGTAATGAAGCACCTACAACATTAGAAAACTTAATATATTAGTGATCAAAACTACTTCCCAAAGATAAGGTTAGCTAGGAAAGAGGAAAGAATGGAACACTTCTGTAAGACAGGACTTGGTAGGCAGTTTTACATCAATCCAGTCCCAATGGATTAGAATGTCCCAGGTTAGAATGAAACTAAAATAATTATGTATTAGGAAACTAAAGTGTTCCTAACACATATGTGCAGGTAAAAATCTGATTTATTTACTAATAATTCAAAGTACCACCTCAGTAACACAGTCTGTGGAGTCATGTTTCACACACTCATTACTTTAGGTACGCATAGTGCGAGGACCAGTCCGTGTTTCAATGTTGCAGGAGGAAGGAGGAAGGGCATTACCTGTAGCATTACAGGTCAGATGTCACCAGCACTGAGCTCTCACCTTCTCTGCCTCCCTGGTGTCATCGAAGAGTCTCTTCTGCCTCCGTGCTGGGATGGGCTTTGCAGTCTCCCAGGCCTCCACCCACATGTTGCTGGGAATCTTCATCCGGGCGCTCAGCTCGCCCTTGATGATTTTATTCCCCTTCTCATCCACCACCTCCTCCTCAATGTAATCCCGAGGGGAGTACCACCTCACAAAGTCCTCCAGGCAACAGCCGGGATTCGCTGCCTGAGTGAGGAGAGCAGAGAAAATTCGTTCCTGAAAATCCTGTAACAATGATAGCCTGGGTAGGAAACACGATGTGGTTTAGTGGGTAGACCATAGCAGAGGAGAAAACACTCGGGGAATTCTGTCCACAGGCACCAAACTGTACCTGGGAGGGTGAGGGAATAAAGCATTAGCCAAGACAATGGCAAGGGGTAAAACCCACATCATCAACAACAAAAAAATCCTTTCTTATCACCCACAAAATGTACATTCATCAGCTCAAAAATTACACTGTTCAGTTAAACTTCCACCTGGTACCTGACACATGCAATAAATAGGAATTTTCACAAATTCCTTCATGTATAAGCTTATACCATAAAAGACCTGGAGGAAAACAGCCCAAGCCTAAAAGAATCACTGGCTGCATAAATATGCTTTCAGCACTGACTTTCCAGCTTTTAACACTCCAGTGAAAAAATTCACCTTTTCTTCCTCTTTTACAAAGGAAATTAAAAAAAAAATCTGCCCCAAACAAAAATAGCTTCATTTTTCATAGATGCAACGTCAACACTAATAAATACATCCATATTCAGAACATAAAGGGAAACTCAGTTCACTATTCAATGTACCAATCAAGAGTGCACTTGTGCTTCAAATTATGGTTCTATATTTTTGAGTTTTCAGATCATTTGGACCACAGAAATAAAACTTCTACATATACCTAATATGCCATGACTCATTGCTAATAACTGATGTTGATATGTTATACATACTCTACAGTACATCTGTATGCTTTTATTATGAACATTGCAATAATTAAAATACATATATAGCTATTTCATTACAAAATCTCTAATCCTTTTAGCTTTCAGCTCCTCTGATGACAGCAGTGTATGTGCTCTTAGCTCCCTCTGCAGAGCTCAGACAAGAAATGGGACAAACTGCCCAAAACCACAGCTAGTCCAGTCCCAACCCGATGAACAACTGCTTTAATTCCAAATTTATCAACTGTATGTTTTCTGTGTTTTTTCCCTTCTCACAGACATTGTGCAAATTTTCTGGGACGTTACATTGTCACAGATTTTGATGTGTTCCAAGAGTTTCAGTAGTAGGGTTTTATTTTCAGCTTGAAATTATTTTGAAACTGTTTTGTGGAGAAAAAAAGAAACTTGTCAGAAAACCCTTCAAAATTGTTCAACGTAAGCAAGAGGGACAGTTTAATTAAGGAGAGGAAAGCAGTCTCACAGAATTCTCCAAGCAGCAGTACCTTAAAAGACTCCATGTCTGAGAGCAGACAGGCACTCTGCATCCGTGCCCGGAGGTGAGCACCTTCTGCTGAGGTTCCCAGCTTTGCCAGCACCTCAGACTGCTCCTCCAGCAAATCCTCAGTCATGGGTGCTGGTTCCTGCAACATGCAAAAAGACAGGGTTACAAACAGCCTCTCCTCAGCTCAGCCCTTCCCAAGGAAGGAGAAGGAAAAAGCTCCCTATCACCAGAAGTCCATTCTGCTTCATTTGTACTCAAGGGAAATAATCAGAACTTTCTACTGCTTAAACTGCTCAGCCAAGCTGTGCATGTGAATATGACACTAACAAAGAAAACCTAAACATGAAATAACCTCAGAATGAAGGAATGGTATAAGGATATATTGTTAAAACACCAAAACCTACATGAACTCTGGCAAGTGTTTGACTGACACTATTTTGTTTAGATGGATTAAAATCGACCTAAAAGTAACACAGAATTTTTGCCTTTGATAGTGTCACCACATAATTAACTGAGAACAGCTTGCCTGACTACACTCTGCTCATATGTTTTATCCAAGTAAAGTAACATTAATTAAAAATAATTTCTCTCAAGAGAAAGAAAAACACTGTACTCTTCATGCATGGCTGGATGCAAACTGCTTCCTGTGGCACCACTGCTCCCTATTTCGTCCCCAGCCACCCTGCAGGAAAGCCTGAGGATATCAGGGAACATTTCTAATTGTTTGCTGATAAACCTGCTGTAGAGAACGGCACCAAAACTGATGACTCTGGTCTTTTAGATATGAGCAGGGAAATTAAAGAAGAAAAGAAAAAAACATAGCAGCAAAATTGCTCCTTATTCTGCTCAGTCAGGTAGAAATCTCCATGGTGGCAGGAAAGAAAGTAAGGAGGGGATGGAAGATGCCTCAGGAACTAGTAATTAAAAAACCCCAAATTTAAGGTAGGCAAGACAGCTTAATTCTTATTTAAAAAACTTGTTTGGAGTGAAATTTGGTAAGGAGACTCACTCTCAAATAAAACAAGGAGCACGTGAGATTTCAGCTTAACGGCCTCATCGCGTTTTAAAAACAAAAAACACTCAGGATTTTAACAACAGATAAGGCTGTAACCTGCAAATATACCCAGTTTCACAATCCCAGGTAGGAGCCCTGTTGTGTGAGAGCTGTGCTGCACATCTGGCTCAGCTCCTGCTCCCTGACCTGTGTTATTGGAACGTAGAGAGGCTCTCCAGGATGCAGCAGCATCAGCTTCCCGTGTGGATGCAGACGACCTTCTGGTTTTAAGTTCACAGGCTCTTTGTTGCCTTCTTTTGCTCCTCCTTTCTTTCCATTTTCCTGTCCATTTCCTTTGAGGTCTTCTGTGTCACTCAGACATTCAAAAAATTCATCTTCACTGTCACTCCATGATTCCCAAGACTTGCCAAATTCCTTTTCCTTATCAGGGTTATCTGCAGAGTGCTCTGCTCCTTTTGCACCATCACCAGAAGCCCCAGGTGAACGATCAGACACGCTCCCCCTTTTCCCCTCATCTCTTGCTTTCTTCCTTTCAATGCAACAATTTAACATCTAGCAAGTTAAAGGAACAAAAAAAATAATTGTTTAGTAATTACTTCTCTTACAGAAACAGTCATACAGAAAAACTTGGGAGAATCCCTGAAAACATCTTACAATTCTAAAAGATAACAACTCCATTGAAATTGTTGCTATAACAAAGATTTTTCCCAACAAATGAATTCCACACCCAAAAACACAAGCGTAACTAAATCTACAACAACAATATATTTAGCTAATAACTGCTTTAATTTTGACAGTTTCCTTAGGAGAAAAATCATTCTTAAATTTGGGATATTTACCTGGAGTTTCTGATGCAGTAAACAACATCTCAGATCTGGAGAGCCATTAGCTAATCTAACAAAAGGTAGAAGTGTAACCATTATCAATTATAAAGTTGAATCTTTCACACATGTGGTCTTAAATCATATGAAATCTAAAAGAGGGGCAAATACCCACATCAGACCCACCCCCGCCATTTCAACTACACAGTTCTTCTGTAGTCTCAGGAGACAAGTCCAGAATTTAAACTATATTTATTTCCTAGAAGTCATTTTAGAAGCTCAGAGGTCATTCACAGTAGTATGAGAGAGACACCCTGCATTTCCTGGCCAGTTTTCCATTTGGAAGTTAAAAGGGTAACTGTTTACAAACAGAAATTAAGCATCTTTGACTTGCTTTAAAACTGCAATAAGTTGGAGTGGTTGCTATGTATTTTAATTCTATTTTATCTGGTAGTGTAACCATTTCAAAGTACAAATCAGTGAATAAATGGCCAGTTCACCCCATTAACAAAAAAACCCAAACAAACCAACCACAAGAAACCAAGAAACCACAACCCCAAAAGTAGGATATATTATTGCTCTGCATTGATACCTCATCTTCACAGAGCCCTTCATTAGGTCTGCAACAAGCTCTGCTGCAGCAGACAAAGGCTGGAAGGGTTGGAATACCTGAAAAGGCAGGAACTTGGAACAGCTTCCTCAGAAAAGTGGTTGAAACTACACCACAAAGCAAAGGTGCTTCTCCCTGTATCAGCTCCTTCATGTTTCTCTAATAGATGAACTGGGAGCCAAGCATTCCTTTAAGTTTTTTTACCCACCCTCATTCACACAGTGGAGGGATCTCTAAGCTGAGCTTCCACAGACATCTTGAAGTTTTCAAAGGAGGGCACAGATGCTTTTCTACTCCCTGCCCTTTCTTGCACTAAGGAAGTAGGGTAATAAAAATAAAGGATAGGATTTGCAATTAAAAAACCCAAACCGGTATGTTTCAAATTCACAGTGGACTCTCTTCCTGGAATAAAGACCATTTTCTACAACAAAGGAATGACAATAAAAGCAAATCTTACCCTGGAATGAGGTAGTTGTTCTCCCATCTGTAGCGCATTTCCAACACAAACTCTTGCCAAAGATGTGCCACCCCTTTTACTCCTCCATGGTAGAAGTTTATCATACAAAGACACAAAGCTAATTTGTAGGTCAGACTGTCAGAGGGAGCAGATTTAAACTGACTGAAGAGATTCTAGGCAAGAAACAAAAGAAAGCAAGAAATACAGGAACAATGGTATTTTTTCCCAAACTACGTAATCTCTTTAGCAGTACAAGTGGCTAACCACATTTTAAGCCTGTAAGTATAAGATATCAAAAATTACAGTCTTTGGAAGAAAAAGAAATCACAAGGAAAAAGAAATGATCACTACTTTTACTTAGAGATTCCACAAAGATAAGTTCCTCTTTCCAAAAGTTACCTATTACAAGATGTAGGGCAACCACAAAGTCTGTATGAACACACACACTCAAAACTGCTTTCTCTCTCCTGAGTGTCAGTCAGTAAAACTTACATAATCTTCATTCTCTGGAGGAGGATTGTTTCCTGCTGAAGTGTTGGCTCTGCTTTCAAATCCATCTGCAAGTTTGTCAGCAGCATCAGGAAACAAGAACTTAAAGAAAAAAAAAATTAACCTTCCATCAGTATGGTTTTCCTGCTTTTCCCACTTTCTCCCTAAAGGTACTGCTGGCTACATACCAGCAATCCCTACAACTAAACTGTTGGCAGAGCTGAGAGTTTGTTTTCAGTCCACTTATATTGCACAGACTTGTAACAACTCGGGCTGTTTCAAGTTGATAATTGCAACTGAAGTAATGGAACTGATATCAGACACCTTTAACTCTCCTATGGACTATAAACCAAATGCATCAGTGCATGTTCTACCTGAATTTCACATGCACGAAGAGTCACTTACCAGTAGAATGGTGTTCAGCACGTCATTGTTTAAAGGCGACTCGTCCACACCTCTGTGCTTGCGGATTTTTTTCCTTGCACTGTGAACCATATTTGTGACTGATAGTTTATGGATTGGGACTGGTGCTGGCTCTGTGAGCTTGGACAAGGCATGGGTAATGTCAGCAACCTCTACGAAATAAAATAAAAGCAATTAGAACAAAACAAAACCCACACACACTTGACCATCTCTCTTTACAAGTTCACCTGTCTTACCCAGCCTTTTTATCTTGTACTGCATTTTAGCCCCTTGTTAACCAGAGGTACACTCTATGCTGTCAGGTTCCATCCTGATACTCACTATCAGCAAATATAAACAGCAGAACAAGTCACAAAGGAGTCACAGACTGCCCTGGATTTAATTTACCAACTAAAGTCTAGACTGAGCTGTCTGCAGACAGTCACTATCAGAGCATCACAAAAGGCTGCTGAAGACTCCATGTTTAAACCTTGTTCACAAATGATACCAATGAATACACTGTAGGCAACAAAGGCAGCTCAAGCCTATGCTAAAGCTTTAGATAAGCCTTAATAAATCCTGTATTAATCACTATATACCTGATCTTACATGGTGTAAGCATAATTCTGGTTTAGAATCCCCAGATAAACTTCTCAAATCAGAAGATTTTTTTCCAGAGTTGCTGCTGGTGAGCTTTAGAATGTCTCTTACAATAAATTGAATCAATATTGTTATAGAGAGGGCAGATAAATTGAAGTGAATAATTACCAGCAGCCTGAAAATGCTCATCTTGGCAAACCTTGCAAGAAAATTGAGTTAAGAAGAGCTAAAGAGACTATGTCAAGCCCCCTACTCAGTCTAACACCTTTTTAAGCTGACTGGTGAGCTCCTTCAAAATTAAGATCAAGTATAACCAAAGAAAATACATTATAAGCCATATTTGGAGGGAAGCAAAGGTGACAAGCAGCAGGAAGGAAGGGAATGTTCACTACATACAGCAAGAAAAGCAAAAGAAAGGGACAGAGACATCAAAAAGATGTCAGTATCTATACAGCTGGGATAAAGTTTCACCTGTTGCTCAGACAATTAGGGAGGGTTTTTTTTATTTTGGGTTTTTTTTCCCTAAAAATTCTTTAAAATGGAGAGGATGATGGCAAAGCCTTTCAAACAGATTAAAGGTTTTTTAAACTTGCTGTTAAACATGTACTACAGAGTACATCAAAAAGGAAAAAAAAAAGTGGAAAAAAACAAAAAGACATAATACAGACAAATGTGTTTGATGTGTGCTCAAACCCAACTCTTGTACATTTATAGTCAAATTTTAAGCTTTTGTATTCCAGTGAAAAGAGACATACACAACTATAACAGAGGTAATTGTCCTCTGGGACTTTGGGAGCTAAGCTTGCCTAGAATTCTTGAGCAATTTCACCATGTAGCACTGGCCAGAAAATCCCCAGTATTACAGAAAATGCATAAGAGTTGTAAGTATAAATAGCAATCAATCTTAAGTCAAGAAAAGGGGATAGGGAAGGTAAAATAACAGGAAACAATTAAAAACAAGTAACACAAATCAACAGGATTTTAGTTTTACCTTTTCCTTCCTCTTCAAACGCAGATCTCCCAAGGATCTCATCAGTCGACTCCTTCCGACGGCAGAGCTTGAAGAATTCGGTAAGGAAGTCACCTGGCAGAGAAACAAAGTCTCTGTTACTACTCAGTTAAAAATCTCACTGAACAACAAGGCAACTCTCAAAATTATGCCCAAAGGACAGTAATTTTTATCTTTTCATCTGAAAGAACATGGTAATTTGTTCTGAAGCACAAATATCTTTAAACCACATCATAATTAAAGCTTAGGAAAATGCACACCTAGGCAGGCATCAGCCACCTCTCCAGAGCACAGCTCTGCCTGCAGTTGAATCCACTTCTTCACCCAAAGGAAGATGAAACTCTGAAAGTTTTGAAGCCTTTTTCCCCACAAGCTTAAAGGCAAGGACAGACAGGAGAGTACAGTTCTTCAGATGTATTAATCCTCCCTGTCAAACAGACTGATCAAGCTAAGCAGATGGATATATGCAGAAGGCACTTAATAAAACTGAAAGATTCCAGGAAATCTAAATTTTCACAGAACATACAGAGAAAATTCTTGTTCTCTGGAATGTGATGAAATAAGAACAGCAGTGAAGTTCATGGTACACAGACACAGAGTAACCTACAACAGAAACTCATGTTTTTGCAAAGCTTGTGTTCTTGAAAAGGAAGCCCCAAATATTGTCCACTCAAAAAAATATGGGGAATGAGGAAACACAGGTCATCAGGTAGTCATCAATTCAACCCTGACTTCACAACTCAGTAGCTTAAAAGCCCTAAGGGAAGACAGGAAATTCTGATGTCTTACCCAGTAGACACTGAGGGTTATCTGCTTTTCTGACTCTCACAGACCATTGCGGGGCTTGCATAGGATCCAGGTCCCTTAAAAACAAACCAAAACAAACTAAGGGCCATGTTGTCACCATAAGTTTGTGAGAGATGAGTATCAAATTGTCAATAAATGTATTGTCATAGTCAGTGAGGCCATGGAAGCCACAATATGCACCACATTACACAGGAGAACATGACAAACACTCTGAAATGCAAGCAAGAGTCCCTGTTCTCATGTAGGTACATGACACATGAAAAATTCAGTTAGAACTAAATTGTCTTCTTTTGAAGTGCATTAACGTTGAAAACTCATTTCTGCATTAATTATAAGAAAGAAGGAAGAAACCCAACATGGTTTATTTCTCTCTAGCACAAAACCTGGATGACAGTTTTTGGGAGAGGGATGTCAATCAGTGAATTCTTTTTGCTCTCCACACTCCATTATTATCTTTTCCAAGAAATAATTTTCAAGTCTAACACGAGAATATGCTCAAAAAGAGAGGTGTGTGTTCTGTTGAGATTACAGTACAATAATATTTTCTCACACAGCAATGCATTTAAAAAGAAGGTGTTTTCCCAAATGAGATGTTCCATCAGCTGACCTTACCACTCCTCAAAAGGGGTTCTTTTTCACACACAAAGCCACACACAGTGTTTTAGATGTCACTAAATGCAGCAGTTAAATAAAGTACATTTCTAGATATTTACAATTCAGACAAAATACTTACGAATACACATCATTGTCCACAATTATGCCCTCTGCCAGGTGGGGCCAGGTAGTAGCTAAATGGAGTTCACTGAAACAAAGCAAGATTTCAGTCTTTCAGTGCTGGCAGAACGTGTTCAACTTCCCTGAACTGCCTACAGCACTGAACACTGTCTAATACATCCAAACAACTCCTGGATTTGCTGAGGGTGATGGGGCGTTCAGAAGGGGACACATTGGAACAACTCAGTTTGCAGACCTGCTCAATTTAAGTCTTCTACAAATGTCATGGATGAGAGCAAGTCCAACCCCTGAACAAAGGTACATAATTTTTAAGGTTTATCTTCAGTTAAGTTATATTTCAACATAATTATTTCAGAGATAAATAGAGTACTCCAGAAGTTTATGGTGCAAGACTTCATTTGAGCAGAGCTTCAGCCCTGAACATCGTCAGACAATTTTGCAAATGGTCTCGTTTGCTATTAAACCAGGTTCTTGATGTACTGGAATAATTAAATATTTGTTAGGGACATTCTAAGCGGTAGGTGGGCAAAGTTAAAATTTTAAATAATGTACCCATAAGCCCTCCATTAAGGAAGTTATAAAACAGTTTTCTGAACTCTTGCTTACCTAATAGGATCCTCACAGGCACCAAATGGTAACTTCCCAAATTCAAGGCCTCCAACTTCTCCCCCAACTAGGGCATCTATATCTGAAGAAAAGTCAATACATTTTCAATGTGGAATTTGTTGAATATTTGAAGCAACATATCATCTTAATTTCACAGTAAAGACTGTAGCATGTAGATGACCAGAGAAGAGTTGAGCAACCAGGGTGACTGAGCATTGAAAACACAACCCTAGCACACAAATTGCTTCCAACAGAAACTGGGAAGTAATCATGCAACAGGACATTCAAAAAGACAGATAAAATTCTCGTAATTCATGTTGAGGGAAGGCTATTCCCTTCACACAGGCAAAGATGAGAGTTGTAAAGACAGACTTAAAGATTCAATGTTGACACAAGAACAGACAGACACAGAAGTGCCATAAAAATATTTGGGCAGCAAATCAGCTCCAAGTAGGAAAGGAAGACTCCAGAAGAGCAACTTGCAGAGTGAAAAAACAGCTAGTTTTAAAATGTTGACAATTTTGTGAAAAGACGATTATGCCTCCTACAGCTACGGACTTAATCAAATTACCTGGGAGATTCCTTGTAATCCCATGTACTTAAAGATGCCTCCCAACATCCTCAGACACTTCCCATGTTATATTCTTCAAATACATAAATCAAAACCAGACAGCCTTCACTGAACAGAAATTTGAATGGATAATAATGCACTGTAATGTCATTATAATAATGCTATTACAGCATCTGATCTGTCATTTTAAATGCATCTGGAAAACTGCTTACATACAAAACAAGTGAGGTATTAGAACAGATAAAGTATTTGGATCACTTAATTACATAATTTCTTCTTCAGAGAAGATAAAAGGCACATTTAAATTCCTTTTATTTGAGAAGAGCTAATTGAGTGACAGTAGTAAGTTACAGGTCTAGTTCTTCACAGTGACCATAAAACCACAACTGCACATAGCAACAGCAATAAAAATTATACTGACTGTCTCCAGTCTCTGCAACACACTTTGACACTGGCTCCCTTAACCAGAACCCTCTAAAGGAGAAGTTATTCCAACAGCTCAAATCTAGAAATATGATCAAAGTAGTACAACTCATCCATCACAAACCAGGGATCCTGACTCAGTAACTACAGCAAGGCAGAGAGACACCACAGAGAATAGATTCCTGTGTCTGCAGAAACAATAAAAGAATAAAGTCTGTAGAATTCATTTCCCAAGTTCTTTAGATAACCTTGGTTTACTGAAAGAGGGAAACTATAATTTAAAACAGCACCGATTTTCTCTCCCTAAAGAGCAGGACTCTTCTTAAACGTATGTTGAACATACATTCCTTAGCTACAAAGCACACAGAATCAACCTCACTACAGACTTCTTCAGAACATACCTTTCATTAGTGTATTTTCTTTTTAAGCAAAGGAAAGTCAAACAATTAAATAAGCAGACCAAGGTCACACAGAGTTCCCTCTCTCTAAATGCTGCCCTAAATACTTTAACCTTGTTATGTAAAACCACTACCAAGTCAAGAAAAGAACTTGGGCATTTTAAGTGCTCCACCACCTTGTACCTACAACACCACATCACTAATAAAACTTATGTTAAGGAGGAACTAACATTTACCTTCTTCCTATAGGTTTGTTTACCTCTGAGCCAGGAGAAATTTATTATTTATTTTTTGATGCTACCTATATAGAAATAGGTCTGTTAAAAACAAATCCTTGATACCCAAGGAAGACTGTCACTATCAAGCAACAATAGGAGAGATCACTTTGGGAGTACCAAGTGAGCAACTACCTCTGTTTTTCCTAAACAGCATCGCTATGGCATAAACTTATAAAGCCTGGTGCGTGTACTTTAAATTCAAGACTATATATTACTTTTCCCCTTTTCCACTCATACAAGACTACTACAATAAAAGACTTGACCAGAAATTGTTCATGCAATAAAAAAAATACATAAACCAACTGCTTGGCTTATTCAACACTCTGTAAACAATAACAACAAAAATCCAAACTTTTACCTCACGTGAGGTCCATATAACACTTTCTGCTTTTCCCATTGTTAATATAGATAGTGAGGTATTAAAATAAGGTACTTTATACAAATAATTGACAAATACTCCCATGAAGTATTAGCACCTACTAGAACCTGAATCTAAACATTTCCCTAAGGAATTCAGGGCAGAGTTCTCCACAGATTCAGTCACCTTTTTCACTTCACATATATACTACCATTTTAGAAGTATCATTGCATCTCTAAATGCTAACAAAACCCCATGTTTCTAGGCACAGCCCTACCCAAAACACCTGTCCCAACCATGAGGCACAGACACGATTTCAGAGGAGCTTTAAGCCTGCGAGCCCAGGACAGGGAGTGGGATTGGACTCGGTTGAAAGTGAAGCCTTTCCTACTCACACAGAAAATGTTTTCATCCTTCTGGCAAGATACACCAAGAGCACTGACTGTCTTAAAACACATTATTCTGAGGACAGGGATCTCCTACCTGGTGGCTGCTGAGGCCAGAAGTACTGCTGCCAGTCCTGGAGCACGTAGGTCAGCCGGATAGCCATGCTAACGGGAGGCAGTGGTGTTAGAGGGCACCCCTTCAAAATACCAGAGAAGAAATTCAATAGAAAGAGTATATCCTCTCAAACACTCCAGGGCTTGGACATAAATAAGTCACAATAGCTTGTATTAGAGCTAATTTTAGCAGAACTGTGACACCCCAAGTATTTGAAGGTTGGACTTGATGAACCTGGAGGTCTTTTCCAACCGTAATAATTCTGTGATTACTGGTAAAGCCATTGCTAAACAAGACAATCACAGATAAAATGCATGAGACATTTGTATGCTCCATTTAGCTGGTAATTCAAGTAACTCTGACCCAGAATGCATCAGGTTTTCATTAAGGATTTTTCTCCTCAGTGTTTTGCTCAGATTGCTTACTACCAATACTGGTTGTGTAGTGCTGCAGGCAGCCAGACCACTCTGTAAACAAGCAGCCCTCTCAGTCTCCTCACATCCTAGAGTGGTGTTCTTCCCTCTCAGCTTGGGGAGCTACAAAGTATCAGAATAAAAACCCACCCCAACCCTCCCTTCTCCTTGCCCATAACAAAATAGAGTTTGTTTGGGCCATGGGGAAGAGGGTTGTTACAAGGAAACTGTAAAACAGACACATTATTTCACATCCCAGTGAAAATTAAATGTGAAGGTGGTAACATCCAGGAACCAAACGCAAACCATCAGTCTTTATGGTCAGATACTGGTGAATCTACAAGCATCCAGGTAATAAAATAATTATCCCTAATCTCATTCAGCTGCACTTACAATCTTGGTTTTGAAGATCTCCAGCAGCCCTGATAAGTGAGTGTACTGGCTGGGCACCTTGCGCAGATGGACCATTTCGAAGTCAGTCCGGACTCCCGGGCCCTGACATTCCCCAACGTACATCCGGCGCCACTTCTGGTGTATCTGCACGAACAGTGGTACCTGACTGCAAAACATGAATATTTCAGATTATTTAAGGTGTCATGCTGTCTTGTAGTCTTTAAAACTAGCTAAATATTTTAGCATCATTTCAACGTCATTTCATATTCTTTGGAATGTATTTTCTCCTAGTGGAACGCACTTTAAAACACTTGACAAGGAATCAAAGAAAAATGCTATCAATGTCATCATCAAAGAGAATGCCTAACAAATTGTCATGTCACAGTCACAGTCATATCCATGACTTCAGTTACCTAATTTTCAGTCTAAATAATTTTTGAGGAAGATCAAGAAGTTACTGTTATCACACATCGGGATGAAATCCTCCTCCATAAGTTATATTTTCTACTGTTTCTAAATTATATTTTCTATTGTTTCTATATTTTCTATACGTTATTTTTCCAACAACTTCTAGCAGCTTCTGAAAGTATTTAAGGTTTTTAAGCAAAAATGAATATAAACAACACATTGAATCAATCTTTTTAAAATCTCCATGGAAAATTTTTTAATCTTTCTCTAACAGTATTAAAGTGCAAACCCAACAAACTCTGAATGTATTTTGCTAACAATTTAACGCTTTTTCCTCACAAATGCAGCATGCTACAGTTTTACCTGGACACGTGAAAAGGTAAGAAATGCTTTCACCTACCAGCCAGTGTTCCCCAACGCAATGGAAATGGAACTCAGCAAAAGGTTACACTTGGATTCACTCACAACGGCCTCATTATTTGCAGCAGGAGCAATCACCACAAACTCCCGTAAGCCATACCTTGAGAAAGTCAAAAAAAGAGCACGTTTCTGATCTTTAGCAAGCCAGTTGAAAAAGAATTTTTAGAAACACTGTGACCTGAATAACCTAAATGTCACCAACAGACTGTGGAATCTGATTTGATGTGAGTACCTCTGTCGGAGAGGTCAAGAACTGAGTGGGCAGGGAGTGCTGCACAGTCCAAAATCACAAACCACCTGAGCTCAACAACACTCAAACCTTGTGAAGTGTTTGACTGTGAGAACTTCCAGGTCTATCAGTCCTGAGGCTTTTTATTTTATAATAACAACAACTGTAACCGTTTATACACAAAAACAATCTCTAGAACAATGTTATAATGTGCTAAAGATTTGCATTACTAAGAACATAGTTGCTGTTTCTTAAGGTGCTGCAGCTTCCCTTTTTAAGAATGTACCTAAATACCACATATATAAAAACTTGGTTGATATATGAAACTGAGACAAAAGTCTTTGGGGACAAAAAACAAAAGTAAAGACAGGCCTTTTTTTGCACTCCTTTCCTGTGTCCAGTATGAAGAACCATTTTCCTTAAGCTTTAACTTTCAATTGAAAAACAAATATACAAGTGCTTGTGCCAGCATCAGAGATTTCTCAATTGCTGTGCTGGTTTGCATTAGAGACAAGAGGCAGGGTACATACCATCTCACCAGGCAGTGAGCTCGAGGGGGGAAGTCGTTGTTCATGCACAGCAAGTCCTGCATTGGCAGCGGAAGGGCATCTGTGAAAAAAAAATAAATCCATATATAAGATCATCAGCATCCATCCAGCTCACTTGCAAATTGCTTAGATTAGCATTGTGTGAATGCAAAGCATACTAAAAGCAGAAATGTTAGATCACACCCATCAGATCTCACAAAATCTCACTCAGAAGCAAATCAACACACTGAATTCCACATTCTGACACTGCCTTTTGTCATATCCTTACAGGTACGTGAGGGAACTAGCAGGTACCTTCTGCCAGCTCTTCTTTCCCATCTTTGTCACTGGGTTCTTGTACAAGATAATGGTGGGTAACTGAGAATTTGAAGTCCGCAAATGAAATTTCATCTGATTTCTCTTCCCATGTCCCTGTGGTGTATATACCCTGCATACAAAAAATATACTATTTTGTCAACAAATTTAGGTTAACATTCATTAGTATATTACCTACGTGATCAATAATGTTTATTTAGGTTTTTCTACTGCCAAATATTTACTCATAAATAGCTAAGCATGATTTAATTTCAAAAAAACAATGCTCAAAGCACTTCATTATAAAGGTGGTTGAATGCTAAAATCCATGTTGTTGATAATCACGTTCATTCCAAGGATCAGATATCTCCCTGAGAAGTCTTCAGAATTATATGGTAATAAAGGGGTAGAAATATATTCTCCTATGTTACTATGCATCTTAAGTATATGCACCCTCAATTTTGCCAGAGACAGAAGTTTCTCATCTGGGACTACACCTAAACCAATCTGTGCAAATATTACCTTGATATTTACTTTGAATATACTTCCGCTAACAAATTATTTTTTTAATCTTTAATTTGCAAAAATTCTGTAAGGATAATTCATTTTTAAACATAAATACAGCATAGGAGATTCTAAGAAAATCGGCATAACTGTACAGAATTCTGTGCTGCTGCTAAAACAAAGCAACTGGGACAACCCTCTGATCTGTAAAGGGTATTAGGAGAGGTCTGGTCTAGCAAACAAGACATGTAGGAACACACAGACAGCTAAGGTGTAAAATTAGTTCATTAGATAACAGAAGTTTTTATTCTGAATGCTCTGTACCCTGGCTAAAATCAAGAATTATTGAATTCCTCTGGAAACACAGCAGCCATTCCATCTGGAACAGCTGAATTTGTTTGCACGGTATGCAGAAGAGCTTAGCAATTTCCTCTGCATTTTACAGGACTGAGAAAGCACCACAAAGGCTCTAATTAGACTCTGAAAAAAATCTCTCCAATCTATGAAACATTCTGAGTCACTGTGCAAACCTCAGCCACAAGTACATGAGGTGTGACAAAGGCACAAGGCAGGGGGAAAAGATTCCTTAAGAATTTACAGCAGCTTCCATCATTTTTCCAGATTCAAATTGAAAATAAAATAAAAAAAAATCACTAAGTCCTATATGAAGATTCAGCTTTATCAACAAGTAGCCTGTTTGGCAGACAGCCCATCAGTAAATTTACAGCAACTGTTTGTCAAATTGGCACTTTTACAAGAGACGTTCCCTAATAAAAATCATTATCTGCCACACTTAAGAAAACAGCAATAGATGAAATGTACGTGTGAATGACTAGTTAGCAATTCAAATTCTAAAAGAAAACTCAAAAGCTGTAACTGACCTTTTCTAGAGGTTTGCCTGAAGAAACCCCAATAAGTTTCCAGTCATTCAATACTTCTTCTACTTTTGAAATAAATCTATTAGGGAGGGGAAAAAGTATTAATATTTACTGAACGCTGAACTTGTATTATAATTCATCTGCTCAAAATCAGGCAATTTGTTGTCCTACTATGGAACTCCTTAAAAAAACCCAAAGAACAAACAACTAACAAAAAAACCCACAACAAGAAGTAAAACAATAAAACCAGAACAATTGCTTCCTTGTACAAACAAAACAGACCTCCTATGCTTACATTTCCGATTATAGTTACTCTTAGCAACTGCTATGACCATCTTTTGAGTGTTTATAAAGAATCGTACCGTTTTCTTTTTCTGATATTGCAGCACATAACATTTAACATATGGTCTTGTTTCACTGCTCACAGATAAATAAACATTTGAGACGATTATACGCTACACTTAATATCTCTGTCTCTTACGATAAACATAAAAAGCGGTTTAAAAAAAACCAAAACATTAAGAATGCAAGAGCATTATTCACCTTAGATTTGTATATCGTTCTGCTAACTTTTAAAGGATTCAGTTACCAGATGACTATTTTAATAATCAGGCAGCCAGTTAAAAAGTGTATAAGCCTTCTGAATGTATATTTTAATCCCTTGCAAACAGATGTTAAACTGGGCCTTTCACTAAGTTCAGAAACAGCTCGACTAGAGCGTCTTCACCACCCTCGGGCGCGGCCTGAGCCGGACGTGGCACAGTCGGGACGCGGCTCCGGGAGCCGCCGGGTGCTCCCAGGTGCCGAGAGCGGCCGTGCCGGGGGGTCCCGGCTCCTCCCGGCGGGAGCGGCCGGGCCGAGCACGGCGGAGCCCCCGCGTCACCCCCGCGGTGAGCGAGGGGCGCGGCGGCACCTACCTCTCCCACTCGGAGGCGGTGGTGAAGTCCGTGATCTCAAACACCTCCGACTCGGGCTGCGGGGAGAGAGTGGGAGAGGCGGTAAGAGGGGAAACCGAGGAGAGAGACCGGTGAGAGCGGGACAGGCAGGGAGGGGGAGAGAGGAGGGGGAGGAGCAGGACAAACACTCACTTCGCTGTCCGCCGCCATCTTGCGACGCGGCCGGGCCGCCGCGGGCGCGGAGGCTGCCGGGAAAGCGGCGGAGGGCGGCTCCCCTTCACAGCCCATCCCGGCTCCCTCTCACAGCCTGTACAGCTCGGCCTCCTTCACAGCCCTCCTACCCTTCATAGCCCGTCCTGGCTCCCCGTCACAGCCTGTCCAGCCCGGGCTCCTTCACAGCCCGGGTGCTTCTCACAGCCCGTCTAGCCCGGGCTCCCACACAGCTCGGCTCCCCCTCACAGCTCTTCCCGGCGGGGCTCCCTCCCAGCCCTGCTCCTGCCTCCCCACGCCCCGGGCTTCCCTCCCCGCATCCCCCTCCCTGGCTGGCTCAGCCCCTCGTGGGCGCTGTCAGGGGATGTCTGCAGTCGTGGTCGCCTCACCGCGGCGGGGGCTGCTCCCACAGACCCTCCGGCTCCGTCAGGGTCAGCCGGGTGTGCCGGGTACCCGCAGGTGCACCAGTAACACAGCCCTGGTCGGCCGGCCGGGGGCTGCTGTCCCCAGGGCTCGTGTCCCTGCTCCCGCCTAGTCCAAAGCCGCCCCCTCGCTTGTGCCTCCCCGCAGTCGTGTCCCGGGGGACGGCGGCCAAGTGCTTCTGGCATCCAGCAAACCATCTCAAACACCCTTTCAGCTCAGCCTGAGCCCCACTGTACTTTTTTTATCCTTTCTTCCCTCTTAACAGTCTGCTACTTAAAAAAAAGAAGAAATATCCTTTAAATCTTCTGTTTACGGCTGCCAGAAACGAGATTAAAAATACTCAAGAGTAACGGGGAGCGTCGAGGTGAGGGACTGAATGCGAACTTAAAATGATGTAGGAACAGATAAAGTATTAAAAAACATTAAAAAAAAGACAAACAGAAGAGAGGAGTAGGGTTTTGTTTTGCGTGCTGGGAGAGTTGCCCTGTGATTAGAGCTTAAACGGCGACACCGTTTAGCTCGGCCGTGTTTGTTTTCACAGGTCCCTGCTGCTCTTTGAATTAAACTCCTCCAAGTAAAATACCCCCCGGAGGGGTTACCTCGGCAACGCCGTGTAAACTCAACAGCCTCGTGTCGCAGGAGCTGCCTGCAGAAAGAAGAGCCTGTGAGCTCCGCAGTCAGGAAAAGACGCCGAAAATCGAATCCAAAAATGCGTAATCTATGTTGAATTCCTCGCTGGCCAGCAAAGGAAGGCGGCTGTGAGCTGAAAATGGTTTATAACTTCTCTCTAGGTTGCTGTGCCTCTTTCGCTCTTTGCTACTGAAGCACCGGGTAAGATTTGTTTGTGCCTTTTTACAGAACCTCCTCAGTTATTATTTTGAAGTGGGTTTTGTGTATCCAAAAAAAAGTGCAGAGTTTGGAGAAGTTCACCATCTGACTCTTACTAGACTAATATAACGGGATGAACATTTTGATGGATTATCCATAGGAATGAGAAATCAAGAGTGCTTCTAAGCTACTTTTGCACAGTTCATTGGATGATCTTGATGATAGGTGAGTCAAAGGTAGCTATAGGTCATTCCATTTTTCTTTGTTTCCTCTGCTGTAAACCAAGAATGATAGTACTGTCTGATGTCTGGCTGTATATAGTTATAAAATAGCACACATTTCTCAGATGTCATATAAAATTATTGTAAAAAACTAATCTAGCAAAATGCACTAGTCTGTTGGGAAGGCTGCTACGTGTTTCCAAATAATTATATTTTTTTTTGCTGATAGAATCAGTAACAAAAGCCTAATTCTTTCCCCGACTAGCAATATTGAGTGGCAATATGCTACTATCCAACAAAATGCACGTAGGCCCTTCATTTCCAGTGACCTCTGTAGTGATTTTGAAATGAAGAGACAGGTACAAAGATTGTTACTTTCCATCACTAACTTGAGGAAAAGAGCAGAGAGAAAATATAATTTCATAAAGAAATTAGCAACATAGGAGCCACTAGGTGTCCTATTTTTATAGTTCTACTTGTAGATTCAATAAATATCAATATAACTTTAAAATACCTTTCTTTTAGCCTGCAATGCACATTAAAGAACTTAATTACTTTCTAGTACCCAATGTAATAATTTGACACTGTTATTCATAAATGTTTAAATATATATTAATTCATGTACATTCAGACATATTATATACCTGACTATTATTTATTTCATGTACAATATCTTATCTTTTTTTACTATAAATTATTTATTAAACAGTAAAGACATTGGTAAACATTTAATACAGATATGAACTAATATTCATGATTGCATTTTCTTTTATTCATTTCAATCCACTCTCTTTAATTACCTTAGGTGTTCTTGTCACTTGAGAAACTGAAGTTCAGTATGCTATTTTAGAAAGAGTCCCAAATCCATCAAAACTATTAACTGAGATTAATTTTATTTCAAGAATTAGCTGTCTAGAATTTCAAAACTTCAAATCCTTCTACTTAACCCTCTCATGTATCTTTTTTAAGAGTCTGCACTTTGAGATTGTTTTGTGTTGTTTTATTGGCTACTTATCCTTCTTAACATATGTTGTAGAAAATAAATGTATGAAAAGAGAAAATACTTGCTGTTTTAATTTCCCGAGATCAGCTCTTTCAACAACCAGGAATTATCTAACAAATGTTTTTAGCACTAATTTAATGCAAATTTCAAGGGGGTTTGGTTTTATAAACACATTCCTTTTTGAGGAATATGTTTTTCTAAACATACATAAAGATGCTCACAGAAAGGTACACTCATGGTTAAGATACTATTTCTGACAATGCAATAGTTTAAAGTGAAAACAAAAGTTTGCTACTAATAAGTTAACAGGCCAACAACCTCAGGTAGTGACTCTTGGATTTTTAATAATTTCAGGTACTTTTAAAATGTTTTTGTCTTACTGATGGCTCTGGAATAATGAAATATAAATTACTGCTTTGTACATGTGAATCAGTAATCAATTAACAAACTGTTCTTTTCAGGTTTCTGGACCTTAATACATTTAAGAACAGTATGTCTGACAACCAACAAAATAAGAGGAGAAGCAAAAAAGGTAGTCTGACCAAAGTTTATGTGTATAAAGTGTAAGATGAGGGATCCGAAGAAGGAAAAGTACAATAATAACTTAAAATCTGGATGTTTGTCAAAACTAAGCAACCATAGTAAAGTATGAAATCAAACTCAGAGTTACTTTCCACCTTTGTAAAGCCTTGAGATTTGTTTGGTTTTCATATTTTTAAATGCTCTACTTCTGCAGAGTTTCTGTCAATATTTGTCTTCTACTTCTGTTCTACTGATCTAGGTGCTGTAACTGGAATTATCTTCAGATGTTCTTTGCTTTTATAGTCCACTGAATTACTACACTTACCAAATAACTAAAAATAAATCAGAGTTATGCATTCACATTTCAAATAAAATTAGTCAAATGTAACATACTCTTATTTTTTTTCCTGATAGCTACTTCATGCACTTCTTTATAATAATATTTTAATGCCCAAAAATGTTTACATTTTAATGCCCACCATGTTTACAATGTGTTACTGCTCAGTGAATTAAACTGCTTTTGTGCAAATACTGATGTACTGTTGCAGGTTGTGGAAGTGTTGCTGCTCTTCAGGATGCAGATAAGACAATGGAAGAAATGCATCAGTCATACAAAGCTCTAGGAAAAAACAGGTTAATCATATTACTGTTTAATTTGCAGTTGAGTGTGCACAAATGAAGACAAAGCAGGTAGTAGTCTGTGAGTAAGGAAATATTTCTTAAGTGCCAGACATTATATTCAGCTTTATATGTTGTGTGGTGTTTATCTCTTCCCAATGGCAATTATTGGCCACTGCTGGAGGCAGGATATTGCATTAGATGAACAAATTATTTGGTAGAATATGGAAAAATATGGGATATGGTTTTACATCAGAATTTGACTTATTAAAACCAGACAATTGCATACAGCTTTAAGATAAACTTAGGCTGTGTTTTTGTACCTCTTTTCAGCCACAATATTTATCTTTCTCCATATTTTTCATTCTTCAGAAAACAGGTGGCAGGAATTTGAGGCTTGTCTGCACAGCCTCTCTTCTTTCAGGCAGGCCAGAGCATATTTTTTAAGTAACAAGGGCACATCTGGGCCTCAGAATTCTTCTGACACACATTGCTGATGAGTCATTAAAAATACAAATTGGAGAAATCAGTTTTTGTCAAGAAGGAGAAGGTTAACAATATGTTTTTCAATTCCTGCTGTTGCTTGGTTAACGTTGTCTGTTATTCATTCTCACTTGTAGTCAATCTCTGGCTTTGCAATCAGACGCTTCCAGGGAGAGGCACAACTTCCCAGATAAAGAAAGAAAAGATACTTTGGCATTTTTGGATTTAAAAAACTCCTTGTTCCCATTATTCTCCAGTCATATGACTATTTGAGCTGCTCCTTCCACTTATTTTCACTCTGTATTTTGGTTTTTGTTTTTGCCTTTCAGCCAAGCAACATCAACATCCAGACCATGGCCAGACCAACAAGTGACGAGTTTTCCAAGTAAAAATCTGTTTGCATTGCAGAGGAGACATCCCACTTCTTTATCTTTCTTCCCAAAGAAAGACAACATGGGATATGCCTTTGACTTCAGCTTTCTGCTACAGATCTCATGTCCAGAATACAACATTTTAAACTCATTAGTGGATTTAGATACTTTTCAGATAGTAAAAGCACAAACACAACAAAGTAAGTTCAGTTTAAAAGTCACAAATTTTATATGAAGTTATATATTAGTTATCATATGAGATGGCAAAGCCTTAGAAGCCCTTTTTCTTTAAACTTTAAAGTTGTCTTTATGTCTGTTTGACTTCTTCACATAGACTTCAGCCATGTGTGAAGTTAATGATAACTTCTTTAATGTTATATATTGCAGAATGAAGGAGCTAAAGAGAAGCAATGGCAAGCTTCACCATTCTTGTTACTCTGTGTAACGAAACTGAGCCCAAAAAATGTAAATTTAACTTTCTGTACCTGGAGTGGGACCGTGGTGGCATCTCTTTCACTTTTCCCTCACACTGGCAATATTAATTAGCTGCATACTGTAGTTAGCAAACATCTAAAATTGTGAAGGATTTGCTTAAATTATTAATGTAAAAATATTTTAGAAGTATAAGATTTTATCATTTTCCTTAGAAAATGTAATTGTGAAGTTCAGTATCACGATGAAATTTCAACCTACAACATTTTCTGCACTGCAGATTTGTATCGTAGTCCTGAGACCACCCATCTGACAGATTCTTGGTCCCCTGAACATCACAATTTGAAATGAATTTATAAGTGAGAATTGTAGCACGTTTAAGAATATCAAATTAACGTTTCATTTGTTTTGATTTTTAAGGGTTAAATATAACAATGCTAAAAACCAGGAACAAGAGATCTAAGGTAAGATGGCATTAGGTATAATCACTGTTAAAAGTATTCTATCCTTTCAAAATCTTAAAAATAGAAATACAGAAGTCATGTAGGTAGTTTTCTTAGTCTCAGGTGGGCTTTTTTTAAGAAGGTGAAGTATTTTTACATTTATTTAGTATATATATGCGTGTGTGTCAGCACAGACAATACATCAGGGATTTTTGGAGGTAAAAGGTTGAAAGTTCAAAAAGATACAAAACCTCTTAAAATAGAAATATGTAATTTAATTTAACATATGAACATCCTATATGCTAAAAATATTAGATGTCTAGTTTTGCCAAATTTAAAAAAAGCCCAAACAGTTTTCTTATATTGAGTGGTAATTTAAAATTGAAGCTGAATTTTAAAACAGTCTTGCTATTAGATGATTACTGAAATTGATTGTATTAACAAATAATAAATAATCTCTTAGAATTAAACATATTTTAAATGAAATTTTGTGATAAGTGCAAATGGGATTTTTGGACGTAACAGTTTTACTTAGAAACAAGCTCACAATTTTACATGTATCAGTGCTCCACACCATGTGAGCCTTAAAAGTTACAAAAGGTCAAATATAGGTTTTTTAGAAAAAAGAGTATTTGGGCTTTATGGATATAAATCAATAGTCCTTTGTACAAAGGACTCATTGAATCAGCTGTAAACTTCAGTGAAGCCACTGCAGGATACAGCAGTGTTCACAAGAAAAAAAGACAAGTATAGAAGAGATCTGATACAGGATCATAAAAAGGGTTATGGGAAAAAAAAAACATTTCAAATGGATGGAAATATTTAAGCAAAATAATTTAGCTGCCCCCAGAGTGATTTAACACAGCTTTATTTCATGCCTTGGCTCTGATGATTCTAAAGCCATATCATTTGGGATAAACTGAGCATTCGTATTAATGCCCCACAGGCCAGACAAAGCCTTAAGAACTGTGGATTTCAAACTAATAGACATTACTTTTCCTGGCATGTTCCAACCTCAGTTTGCCCTTGGAATGCAAACAAAAATTTCCTGCAGATTGCAAACTGATGTGGAACATAGACATGCAAATAAGTACTCTGAGTAGATTATTTCTACTGCATACTGTGATTATTTCTATTGCATCCATTTGCATGAAAATATACAGGATATTCAAGTTTATTTTTATTTCATTTCCTATAAAATAAAGAATAGAAGTACTATTTTCAGAAAATTATTCTCACTGTTCATCTGAACAGTCACAACACAGTGCTCCGTTTCTCAGACCTTCCAAAGAGAGATGTTAACTTCCACTAATGTGATGGGGAAAGAAGGAAGAAGGGAGGAATAATAAAACACATCCCCTACCTAACAGACTTCTGTGTTAACAGCCCTATGAAAATGGCCTTTGGGTTTATCCATTTACCTTCACTGGAACTCAAGTGCAGACTGTGCTGTTTTCCAGTGTACCCAAAACTCTCAGTGATTACATTTTACCTGTATCTGTGTTGTAGCACATTATTAATTTTTTTTTAATGGAAATTACAGTTTCATCTGCCACCAGTGACATGTGAGCCTGTAAGAACAATTCATCTTGCTCCTCTAGAGGATGATATTGTCAATGAAAGCAGCAACATCAGAAATATTTTAAATATTATGAACTCTATTCCTCAGCCTATAAAATCAGTTACCAAATTTTATCATAATCAGTTAGACAATCTATTCAAAAGGCACAGTGAAAAGTCATCAGACTTGATTGTGGCTACAATTTCTGATAAAGTCACTCCAGCAGAAGACCTGTACTGCTTCAGGACGAGGAACTGTTCTAAGTACCCCAACAAGAAGAAAGAAGGAGTTCAGAGCCATTTGGGATGGAGGGAGGCTGCCGTAGGTGCCCACGCTGACAGGAATGAGCAGGTGAAGTTCCAGTGCTCAGTGGTTTGTGAGAACACCGATCCTGTGAGCCAAGCCGGGCTCTGTGGTGACGGTCACCCCCACCTGAGCTCCAGTGATGCTCTGGTCAGCTGTGGCAGAGCTCAGACAACATTTACCATGTCGAGCAGCAGCGATGCCTCAAGAGCTGGCAACGAGCAAAGGGCAACAGAGAATTGCTGCAGCACTGGCCCAGAAGAAGGAGATGCTGCAGAGATGACGCTGGATTGTGCACCGTGTGAAGGTGCTGAAAGGGCAAACTCTGTGCTTGGCAATCATGATGTAGATCCTTCCTGTGAAAATGAAGTGGCAGAGGCCTACCACGCCTTAGAAAATAATTCTGTAGTTGCAGTAATTCCCACAGTAGAAGTTCAAGATCCCTCTGGAAAGCAAACAGAAAATTGTGTCTGTCTCTCTGAATCTGAAATGGAAAAAGAAGAAATGTCAGAAGCTACTCCAGAAGACCAAACTGAGCCTGTAGCTGCTGTTCATGTTACATTCTCTGAGCAAGAGCCAACCAGGGAACCACACATTGCTAAACAACCCCCCCCAAAAGAGAGTGGTGTTCATGGCCTGCCTCCTCAGGGTACTCAGAGCTTCAGCGTTCTCACTCACAAAGAAAATGACAAAAATAAAAGAAAGATTAATAGAAATAAATATTCATCCAAATCTAAAATTAATAACAAGCTAAAGATGTCTAAAGACTTCATTGTTTCTGATGAGATTACTGCAAAACATAATGCCAAGAGTCAGATTTTTCCTTCTTTAGAACTGCCACAGGTGAAATCTGAGACTTCCCTGAAGTGTCAGAAAAAAAACCCTCAAGGAGACAAAGGCCATTTTTCTCAGAGTGCTCAGAAACTCAAAAAGCAAAGTTTCTCCTGCAGTTGCAAAAATTCAGTTGAGTTAAAGAACAGTGTTACTCCACTTTCTCTGCCACACCCACCATCTGCCTTAGATTTTGGAGACCTGAAATACAGTGACATGTTCAAGCAAATCAACTCAAATGACCAAGGCCCAGGGATTTATGAAATGTTTGGAACTCCTGTGTATTCCCACGTGCGGGAGCTCGAGCGACACGAGAGCAGATTTTATAAAAGTGTTTGTTCTGCTCCCTCAGGGAGAGGCACTGTCAGCACCTGCAGATGTACCTGCACCAAAGGGAGGGAGAGCAGCAGGGTAAGAAACACTCCAAAGAAAACACATCCCAAGCCAAAGAAGACAAAACCTGGCACTAAACAAAAGCAGAAATGTTCAATCCCAAAGGATGGAAGTACCAAGTTGAGTGACAGCAACACAGAGCAAGATAATGTGGTAATTTCTGATGCAGATTTTCAAACAAACACGTCAAGGAGCACAGCATTGTCTCATGGAGACACAGATCACCAGCTTATGTTGTTAGAAGAGCTTTCTCAGTCAACTAAGCAAAATGAAATTTTTTCAAATTCAAACTTATCAACTATCAAAGAAGTTACTTTGGAGCAGTCTTTAGACAGACAGGATGTATCCAACCATCAGAGAGCTGCTCCGTGTGGACAGAATCTTCAGCTCAGTGATGAAGACTGCAGAGACTGTGTTGCTCCAAGGAGCAGTCTGCTAACAACAGACCAGAACATCTGTGTATCCCAGTGCAGAGGGAATATGGATGGTGGCAAAGGCCTGGAATCAGACCAGGCCTCCTTCAAGTCTGTCAATAAGGGTGAAGCATCACCCTTTTCAGATAGACTGGAGTGTCAATCCCCTACAGAAAAATCAAATCACAGTTGGGCAAACACACTCCAAAATAGTATTTTGGCAAATGAATTGAGTCGGCCTTCAGTGACTAAAAGCCCCAGTTTCCAGACAAGTCAAAACACTTTGTCCTGGACAGATAAAGATGTGACTGATGAGTTGCTTTGTTGCCTGGCTGAAGAATTGCTAATGCTTGAAGAAAAAGACACGAACTCTGCAAGAACAAAACATACAGGTTCTAAAATGCAAAACACACATGCTGAAGAAGAAAATATGATTAGTGGAGATGGAGCAATAGTAAATAATGCTCTAGAGAAGGTAAAAGTAATTTCTTGTAACTTGCTACCTCCTTTGAGTGGTGCTTCACTCAAGTTTGGATGAAAGACAGGAGATATGTGCTTATTAAAGATCCAATCTCTTTTCCTTGGGCCAGCTGCCCACTGATTCTTCCAGTGTTCTGTTGAAGACACCCATGTTAGAGGCTGCATGTCAGGACACAAGCCAGAAGGTACTAAGGCAGGACAAGAATAGCTGTCAAAGCTTATATCATGGGTCAAGATAAATCGAGAAGTTGTTGTGAAAGAAGAGAATAGGCTATTTTAGTTGTAGAGCAGGTATAAAATGTTTTGGGCAAGGCAAAAGCTCTTGAGATCTTGAAGATAAGGAATATGAAAAGATGCTACAAACAGTCCTTGTATACCCAAAAGGGCAATGGCCTTGAATCTCTGAGTGCAACCAGACATTTTTACAGGTATGAACTACAAGTATTGGCTTATCAGGCAGACTTAAGGATGTTTAATTAATGTTTAATCAGAACTTGGAGCTCAGAAGGCTCAGATTCTGGTCCCCAAGTCAGTTAAGAGCTGTCACCTACCAAGGTGCTTATCTACCAGCACTGCTCCTCCTCTGCCCTGTTAGCTTTTGGGCTATTTAAATCGCAAATTTGTAAGGGAATTTCTTTCACTACCTGTTGATACACACCCACCCCCCCCCTTATGCTTCTGCAGACACAGGTGCCAGTTATACCTCCATTCTCACTGCAGAGATCCCTGGCTAGATGGAGGAATTATTGCTGTCTTACTTACCTAGCCTTACCTAGCATAGCAATTGTATGGATGGGCTGGGTGGGGTCTGTGTATATATATAAATCTGTAGAGCAGAGCCATGACAGGAAATGTTATTCCTTATAAAAATTGTAAGGACAATATGAAGTCTTTCTTTTCCTCTCTGCTTTCTCCCCACACTGACCAACATCTTTCAAGCAGAGTTGCAGTAAAGCCTTTTTGGCACCAAGTGAAGAAAGTGGCCTTTTAAACTTAGATGAATCTACTAAATTATCAGGAAGTAGCTTAACTACCAAGGATCCTATCATGTGGACAAGAGGGGAAGTCCTTGGAAAGGGAGCCTATGGCACAGTAAGTAGTTGTCTGAATGTTAAGAGATGTGCTGGTTGTGGCTGAGCTACACTTTGTCTCATAACTGGCTGTTGTCCTACTCAACGAATGACTTCAGTGTTTTGGGTTATACAATGGGACACGAAACATGACAAACACAAAAATACTATTTAAAATAAGTAAATACTTTATTTCACGTTTCATTTTAATAATTGCTGGTTTCACTGTAGGTGTACTGCGGTCTGACCAGCCAGGGACAGTTAATAGCTGTAAAACAGGTTGTTTTGGACACATCAGATCAACTCACTACAGAAAAGGAGTACCAGAAGTTTCATGAGGAAGTTGATCTCTTGAAGACATTGAAGCACGTCAACATTGTAACTTACTTAGGGACTTGTCTGGAACACAACATTTTAAGCATTTTCATGGAGTTTGTTCCTGGCGGCTCCATTTCCAGTATTATCAATCGCTTTGGCCCGCTGCCAGAAGTTGTCCTTTGCAGATACACCAGGCAAATTCTGCAGGGGGTTGCCTATTTACACGCCAACTGTGTGGTGCACAGAGACATCAAGGGCAACAACGTGATGCTCATGCCCAGCGGGACGGTGAAGCTCATTGACTTTGGCTGTGCCAGGCGCTTGGCCTGGATCAGCCCCGGCGGCACCCGGAGCGAGACGCTGCGGTCCGTGCACGGCACTCCCTACTGGATGGCTCCGGAGGTGATCAGCGAGTCGGGATACGGGAGGAAATCAGACATCTGGAGCGTCGGCTGCACCGTGTTTGAGATGGCAACAGGAAAGCCGCCCCTGGCTTCCATGGGCAGGATTGCAGCCATGTTCTACATCGGGGCCCACAGGGGGCTGATGCCTTCCCTTCCCGAGGGATTCTCCGGCGCTGCCGTGGATTTTGTGCGTGCCTGCTTAACCAGGTGTGGAGAACCTTAACTGGAAAATGAAAGGAAGATTGCAGACAGTTTGGATTGTAGAGATTGTTGGTAGGAGCTTAGGTTACATCTTATAATATACGTCTCTTTTCTAAATGCTTAGGCTTCTCAGCATTTCAAGAAAGCCTCTAAATAATAGTATATATAAAAGAGCTTTACTCTCTATAACGGTATAGAAAAACCCTCACAAATTCTCTTTTTGTAGGCCTTACACTCATCATTTACTTTTCTGTAATTTTCATGTAGAAACACCACTGAGTTTTAGACAAAATGTTTGATAAATTTCTTTGATGTGTTTTGCTGATCCAGTATCGCTTGAGTTTGGCTTATGTCAGGCAAGTTTTTTTGAGGACAGTATTCTAAATGAAAGGGCTTCCAATTAATTCTTATCTTCTGCAGTGGAAAAATCTATTATCACTGCCAGTCCAGGAAATACTTGAAACACAATCTTTATTAGAAACATAAAGTTCTCTATATAACAACCCCAAACCACTAGCATCCACCCATTATAAGAATTATTTTTGTGGTGTTTGTTTTGTTTAAAATATCAGCTGTGTCCCAATGTTTAAACGGACTATCAGTTTCAAGAGCTAAGTTCCTGACTTCTGTGTAGTTTTTATAAAATTAGGAGCAGTCTTTTACATATCTCTGAAGATCAGATTTGAGTACAAGAGAGAAGCATGTAATTTGGTGGGCATGGCAGTGGTCTTGGGGGCAGGAAACCTGATTTCTAATCCTCGGATTAGAATTGTTAGGGAATGGTTCTGGTTCCTGTGGACCACATAACAATAAGAAAAATTGTGGGCTGTATATAGTGACATCATATATACTTGATTCAGAGAGAAGAGGGTTTAAAAGGGAGAAGGAATTTTTAGGTAGAGGGAAACATACAGCATTTAGCTTTTCAAAAGTCTGGAGGCACCTGTGGTGACAAAAACTTAGTGTATGATCTTACCATGTCCTAAATATAAATGCTTCCCTTATCCCATATTCCCCATTAGTTTATTATTTGAGGAATTGGTGCCTTTTATTCCTTTCCCTGTTTTTTTCCTTCCAAATTGCAGGTTGAAAAAGCCCAAAGCCCTTGGCTCTAGCAAGCCAATATTGTAATTACTGTCCTGTAATTCCATAGAAATCATAGAATGGCTTGGGTTGGAAGGGACCATAAAGACCATCTAGTTCCAACTCTGTGCCATGGGCAGGGACTCCACCCACTAAACCATGGGCAATTGTTCAGGGCCCCATCCAGCCTTTAACAATTCCAGGGATGACATATCCACAGCTTCTTTGGGCAACCTATGGGCTCCTTAACATGCATGACATTGACTGGAGATGACAGAACAGCCTGATTGATGGAGGATCAAACAAATAATTACCACTCTTCTTAAATACATTTTTTGGTGAACCTGAAACAGCCAAATTAGCAGAATTATTCAAAGCTCTGCAAGGAATTTAGAGGAATAGAGACTGATTTCTTTAAGAATAAAATATTTCAGTTTTATGATTCATAAATTCCAACAGTCTTTTCCCCTGAAGCCTCCCTTCCTTTCTACCAGCTTTATCAAAAAAACCTAAAAACAAGTAGCGACTGGAGAAATAAGAAAAAAAAAAGGCTAATTTTGCATTTAGATTTTATGATTCCCTCAGAGGCACAATACTAATTTTATGTCCTGATTTTTGAAACTTTCAATGCAGAGATCAACATGAACGTCCTTCTGCTCTGCAGTTGCTGGACCATCCCTTTGTGAAAGGAAGACAGTGAATTTTTCAACTCTTGCCAAGTGAGTATCCATTTTCCATATAAAAGATTTCCACTTGTGAATAGAAACCATAAGGAACTGGACTTTTAAGGGACAGCGGAAATACTGGAGAGCACTTGTGTACAAGGGGTCTTAGGCCTTTGAATAAACAGGCTCCAGCCTTCCACCACCCTCGAGGTAAAAAGGATTTTATGTTTGAACAGACTGTCTTGTAGGTCAAGTTGTGCCTCATGTCTCTTGTCACTGGTAACACTGAAGGGTCTGGCTTTGTGTTCCTTCCTGTCCTCATGGGGTATTGATACACATTGGAAACTTGAACTGTTTCTCAAAACACCTGAAGTGAGCACTCTATGATTAGATGACATGTGACAGTCTCCATCTGCACTGCAAAAGTAATGGTAACAATTAGTAGAAGTAGCTACTACTAACTGCACAGAATTAAATAAAATTAAAAAGTATAGTTATATAGTAATAAACCAAAGTAAAAAAGCAGGTATTAGTATTTAAAATGTCCTGTTTCTGGTAAGATTTCTTCCAATCAAAATGGGGTAAACTTTAAGCCTTTGTGAGCACCCAGGCTCCAGGAAGAGATGCAGTAAAACTCAGCCCTACAACTGTTCAGAGCTGAGCTCTCAAGGATTCAAGGCACTGACTCCAGTGCCAGCAGTAATGTGAAAATTAGTGTTTTACAAAAGGGAAAGAAGGAAGTTCTAACTTCCTCAGAGTGCTAAACACTTTAATTTCACAAATAGCTTTCAAGCTTTGCTTAATGCCAGTTGCCTGATTTCAGAGAGTTGGTCTAAACTTTATAAAAGCAAAGAGAAACCAGTACTTCTAGCAAAATCCTTTATTGATAGTTTCTGTGGGTATAATGTCACATAACAATGACAGAACATAATGCCAGTATAAGAGAAATCCCAACATCACAGTCATCTTCCAAGTTCAAGCAGTTAACAGTCCCATTTTGAGGAATACAGGTTGGTGCTCATGCCAGGAATCCATGGCAACGTCACGTTAAAGGATCTTCACATTTAAGTACTTTGCAGAGTAAAGGTGGGAGCCCTGGCATAGGAACTCAGGTGGGATGTACATAATTCCATGATGTGCATTAATTCTTCTCAGGTTAATGTAGTGTCTCCAGTAAAGCTGCAAAGTAAATGTGAGGTTTTATTTAGCATGACATGAAGCTGAGATGACAGATATAAGTGGGGAAGAATGGGAATGCTCTAGAATATATAGTTAATTAATAAAATGTCAGCATTATAAATCCCCTTCCTTATGCACATGACTTATAAGCAAAACTAACGTCTCTTGTTAGTGCTCTCCAATATTAAGGTTATTAGTTATTTGTAATTTAAGTGTCATGTTTAATCCAGCTAATTACACTAAAATTAGTTTGGAACTTAGAGGTATGTAAAACTTGAACCCGAGCCTTTAATCAAAATGTGAAAGCACATTTTTGCTTTTGCTTAACCAGATGTTGAGAACGAGGTGGCACTTTAAGGCCAGCACTTGCAACAAAGTATTTCAGGCTAATCTGCTGGAGATGGTGGGGATGTGCCTGCAGCCCAGCCCAGGGCACAGCACACCTAAACCAAGCAGGACATTGGGTTGGGGAGTCTTGGGTCACTCGGCTGAGCCAGTCTAGTGGGACATTCTAGAAACAAGTCTAACTTTGCTATTTCTTACACGAGGAGATCACAGATTTTCACATCCAAATCCAGATGCTTAATTAAGGTGTCTAAGGTAGTCAAGAGAAAGGGTGCAAAACCTTGAAAACAGTATATTCCATGAGAAGTGACTCAGGGAGGAGGGTGACACTTGCTTAATTATAATTAATATATATAAATATATAAATATAATTATAAACCAAGTCTTACTGGTTTAAATCTGAAACCAGTAAGAGCCCATTACAACTCATGCCAGGCTGCCAAGCACTAGGGGGGGTGCTTTGCTGTGACTCCAGGTTTCCTATAGATCTGGGGCTTAAATCAGAGAGCCTGAAAACACACTGTTCTTGTATCATTGCAGGGTACTTGCTAGTCCTTTCACACAGTAATGTTTGAAGCTCTGAGCCACTGCTCACATCTCAGAAGGGAGGGTTCTTAGGAATGCCAACCACCTATTTTACACTGGTCTTGGAACTACCAACAGCAAAATTTGCATCTAAAACTACATCTACTTCTCTTTCCAAAGAAGCAGACACTGAGCCTAGAAAACCCACAGTCTCTTGAGATTATTTGGGTTCAAAATCAGTGCTTTTTCACAGAGCTAAGCAGGAACTGATGCCATTTCTCCACCCCTCCTGTGAAATCTCCGGTTCTTGCACAAAAGCAAATGAGAACAAGAGTTATCCTAAGGAAGGGCCACCAGTACACACAGTCCAGTGCCTTTTCTCCCCTTCTTTTCCCTTTTCCCAGGGACCTGTACCATGGGACAGCCTCAGAAATTTTACAGATGTTGTCAAAGAACACAATCTCTGAACTATGGCAAGGAAAATGTTGCCATTATAGGTGCAGGAATGCAGAGGAATCAAAACCAGCTACTGAAAGATCTAAGGTTAAAAATTGGATTTGGGTTTGCTATATCCATGTCAGGAGCCAGAGAAAGTAATTCCCAGCAGCAACTGGAGAGAACGCTCCTGGCACTAGTGATCTACTTTTTTAAAGGTGTAAGAAGTTAGCTATTGCAGAGGAAGGAGGAATTAATTAGCTAGTTCAGTTTGGCATAACTTCCAAGTCTTTGAAGACATTTATTTTTAGAACTGATTATGGGAATGTGCATTTACATCCCAACTAAAGAAAGCAAAGTGTTTGTCCAATGCCCTTCCCTGCAAAACAAGGATTGGGAACCCTTCCCCCCCTTAAGGTAAGAGAGATGCTTGGTGTACAACTGTCACCCACCCCCCTCACTGCTAAAAAGAAAAATAATAACCCTCCCCTGAAGCCTGGCCAACCCCTACGCAACTCCAGGGTACAAGCTCTGGCCCCCAGGGCACAGGGAGGAAGCAGCTGGAGATGCCATAACAGTTCTAGAACTTGCTTTTCAGGTACCAAATACCCGATCACCACAATGGAATGGGAGCAAAGGAAACAAATGAGACTTCAGACTTTCAAGCAGTCTGTTATTTGACTGATTTGATGACAACCAGCAATGTTTAGCCAATAACTGAAAGAGGACCTTTGTGTTTCCAACTTTGTAAAAATTCAACATAGGAAAATGGGATCATTTCTGCACAATAGAGGTGAGGTAGGGAATTTTATTGAAAATACTTTTTTTTTTACAAGTTCTTAGAAATAAAGTTTTTTCTAATCTCACACAAATGGCTGTACCTCAAAAATGCAACTAAGCTATTATGAAACATTTATATTTACAATTAGCCAGAAGAATGTACAGAACTGCCATGTTATGCAAATAGCCAAGACCCAGCTCACAGTGAGATACATTAGCCCAGCACTCCCACCATCAGGAACAGACCAAGATCCAACATACGAAAGAATTTCACTATTCTACAAACCTCAGATCTCACAAACAGGGAGGATTTTTAATAGTGTTGTACCAAGGTCTCCACTACAGTGTCATTTTACAAATTATATAATTCTTGTACTCAAATTTATAACAAAAAATCTGTAATAAGTGATGAACAAAGGAACAGTGTTGACTTTGAGCCTTTTATTGCATTTATTCAGTCATTCCCGTGTGAGGCCAATGCCGATCCCATCAGTTTTCATTCCTTCCCACCCCTCAGCCAGGCTGCCATTCACACCAGTCACTAATTTCAGTCAGGGCAAACTAGTGGCACCTGGCTGCATCTCCTCTCCCTCCCTCTCAGCCCCAGGGATCACCACTGATCGCAGTGGTGGAATTCAGTTCCAAACACAATGACACGTACAGTTTCACCTATTTACAATGACATTGAAAACCAAACCCCATGAGTTTTATGGACATCCTTTACAGAGAAACCAAAACCCACTGTTTGGATCTCAATGTAGCATAGCAACATTTTGTCCACTGTTATTTCACAATTTCCCAGAATCAAAACAGGAAATAATTCTTTTGAAACAGCACCTTAGGAGGAAGGCCTATGCTCATTCCAATGTATATTAGACAGGCACTAGTTACCATCCAGACATTTTAACTCCAGGTTGTGACAGAAACTGCTATATATACAGTACAATATATTGCTTATCCAGAGTGGCTGTATAAGATGCATTTCAGGGCACACCTATTTAAACAGACTCAAAAAGAAAGTACTGTAGTGCTTCAAAGACAAATTAAGACAGTTTCCTGCTATGTCATCTCTCTGCCCAGGCTCTGGTTTAGGACAGTATATAATGCAGATTACATTGGTTACAAATCAGACCCAAGAGTAGCACTGAGATGGAAAGGAAAGGGACTATAAAAGGATAGAAAATATCCAACAATGCAGAAGTTTGTAACAAGAAGTTACATTCCCAATGTAGAAAAATAACCAAGTCAATAGGGATAAGACAGCTTTGGATTTTGTAAACGAGCCTTGACTTAAGATAAGATATAGCAGAAAATGCAATCAGGTTTCCATTTAAATATTCCTTAAAGTGTAAAAAAAGTATCCATAGTTCAAATAAAACTTATTCAAGTAATTACAAGCGTTTGCATTACTGGAAACAGAGTATTACATAGTAATTGATATACCTGTAGTTACATCATACAGCAACTACCAACCAGGCTGAGATTGAACAGTTTTATCATGTAAAGCACAGGTGAGTAAAGAACTGGAAGGGCAAAGCTGCAGATGTTCCATGGGGACTTACAGAGTTAAAGGAGCACTGAGGGAATGAGGTGGCTTAGCAAAAGTTCACATCATGGTCACTTCCAAGTCAAAAGAAGTCATGGAAAACTGGCTGTTGCTACTAGAAATCTACTGAGTTCATGTTGAGGTACTTCATAGCTTATGAAAAGTTTGAGTAACAACCCAGAAAGTCAGTTCTCTGCTCTCCAGGCGGCTGAGCTGCAGTACTGGCTTGGAGAACACAAGGACATTCACACCTGTCATTCCTCCTGCAGGCAAAGCCTCTGGGAAGAGCAGCCGAGCCCTGACACTTGCAGGCAGATTAAATGGATGCCAGTGGTTTAACTGGGACACTGAGGGGTTTTCTAACCCCCCCAGAGCTGAAAAAACCAGAACAAGCCTCTT